CTTACCTCCAGCAAAATACACGGAGGGAGAAAGAAAACCGTGACTCCGTGAGGCCGTGTCGCCGTGAGGCTCGCCGCTCGTGAATCCGTGATTATTGTGTAAGTATTTTGTAAGGCAGTAAGCTAGCTCGGCCTCTTATTTATAAAAGCTTTTGTGGGTTTTGATTTTTGAGAAATGGGGAAATGTGATTCTGTGAAGATTGAATTTTGAAATGAGGTTCATTAATCCGCATATATTTCCGTAAGTTAAGGTGAAATTGGAATTGGTTATTTGTTGATGCATATGGTTTTAAATTGGCTGATCTGAGATACACACAAAAAGATACTTTTTAATTCTGTTCAGATTATGAATATCGAAAAGCTACTCAGGTTTGTTCTTGGAAATGATTTTCACTTAGAGTGCTGATATTTTTTTATGCTTTTGGTGTGAATTCATCAGCTTTGATTGGAGTTGACATAATATTCTGTGGGCTTTGATTAGCCGATTTGGTCCATTTTGTTCATATATACATTTGGAGATACATGTATAGAATCTTGCTTATTATGGTTCAACGTGAAATTTTCCCTTTTTAGCATAAATTTATTTTTCTGTTGTTGTGCTGTATTTGCATGTTTCATAGTTGCCTGGAGTCAAGATGATCTATTTGAGTTTCTTCAATTATGTTCAGCTGGATGAGTTTTTTTTTTTCCTCACCCCACTGAAATCGGAAGAAACTGATCCTCTCTGTAATGAAATCTGATGGGCTCACCAGCTTAGTTTGGCTCTACCTGATCAAATCCAACGGTTTCTGGGCATTTTTCGATGAAATCTTTCAAAGAAAAATGTTATTTAAGTGATATTGAAGTGATCGTTTAGAACTTCTTCGTATTGTTATTTGATTGCAACATAAATATTTTGAATATTTTATTTTTATTTGTTGTTTTATTGTTGAATTTAAGTTAACAAATTTAGTTCCGTAAGACTCTTTTAAATGAAAAAATGGATTGTTGCTAAGATTTAGGAGCCCAAATTTTGAAGTTCGCTTCATACCCCGCGAAGCACAGGTACGGCACTAGTTGTAAAATCACATAGGTTTTTTTCTTCTCTATCGTTGCTGCCACAGTTCGCACTTCGCCTCCAAATCGGAGATCTAGACGGCGACGATGGAGTAGACAGAGTACTAGAGGAAGAAGTTTTAGTATGTGGATTTTCTCTCGTTTTCTTCTCTTTCAGCAAAATTTCCTTAATTTTTGTTTCTTTTTTGTGTTCGAGTGCATTTTCGTATGTAGGTTTTCTCGATTTTCCCTCAATTTCAGCAAAAATTTCATAAAATATAAATATTTGGATATTAGAGGATAAGAAGTCTCTATTTCTACAACCGAATTGCAATCACCTGGGTGGAATTTCAACTTTTTGGCTGTAGACTATCAGTGATAGGAAATTTGTGATCCACAACTTACATTTTGTATTTCGTTTATGTTTTTCTTCTTGTTGTCACCGTATTTTGTTTTCTTCACGTCAATGGCAGCAAAATTCTTAAATAGTTGGTTAGTTATTTAATTTGCCTTTAAAACTTTAGTTCCACCTGTAAAAAAATCAGAGATTTAACCGTGAAGCATTTTCTATTTGCACCAGTTTTGGCTATTTTTTTGTAATCTTGGTGGCCAGTTGTGTAGCTTCGTTTTCTATTGGGTTTGCTTTCATGCTTCGTGTTTCTCTATGGCTAGATCCTGTTTGTGGAGAACGGTAAATCCTAATGAAAATGTTAAAGGCAAATTTTTTTTGTACATTTGCTTTCTTGGGTCGTGTTGTGTCTACCGTGCTTTTTATCTTCAGTTTTCTTTTTTTTTTCCCCCAATATTTGGCTCCCGTAGATGAATTTCTAATCACTGGGCGTCACTTCCCTGTTTACAATAAAAAAATTATTGTTGCCATCGCGAGGTTTATTTACATGTTTTTTCATTTTTGTCGCAAGAGATGGTCATCTTGGATAAAGGTCAGCTACTCTAATATATTTGTTTTTGTTTTGTTGTTTTCAGCTTGCATTTTACAAAGTAGAAATGTGTGAATTATGTTGATTCATTCAATTATGAATAATTTTATTGTTTAACACCCTTCGGACCAAGCAGTGAATCCTTGCTATCACAGCTGCCTTTAATTCCTCCCACCAAACACTCCAACACCGGAGTTTGGTTGTTTTCATTTACTATTGAGTTAATGTTCTCTTAATTTCAGGTCAATCAAGCTAAAAACTTTTAAGAGTTGTGTTTAATTTTAGATTTTTTTATTATAGGTGCCTCCTATGATGTTTCATTTAGTTGCATGTGAACTTTTATGCTCCGTTGTGTGCTCATTCAAATTAAGATGAATTTAGTTTAGTTTTTTTTTCTTTTTTTTTTTTTGTAAAGCTTTAAATTCCAACATTTAAATGTGAGATTGTTGTATTTGATATTTTATCAGTTATATATTCAAGTTGAGCCTCATGTTTGAGGTATTGATGTTAACATTTCTAGCCCAAATGATATTTATTGCATTCATAAAGTGGATAATGTGTTCAATGTTCATGTATGTGGTGGAGTTATGTTGCTAAATGAAAGTGCATAATATTTTTGAAGTTGAGGCGGTTACTTTGCAAATGCAGACCAGCTAAACCTATGCATGTCTAATCTAAGTTCATTAATGTGTATGGTTGAAAAAGACGTAAAGATTAAAATATAGGCTCTGTTTGGTAAANATTTTATTAAGGTTCTGTTTCGTACACATTATTTTTTTCATTTTCATTTTTATTCTCATTTTCAACCACACATTCTTCAATAAAATAATATTTTTCATCACATCAATAACTTTTCCTTCATTTTTAACCACACATTCTCCATCAATCTACTATTCAATAATACATTCTTTCAAAAGAATGTGTTCCAAACACACTCATAGTGTGCAAGTAAACTATTGTGTTGAACAACACATTAATGTCTCCAATTATATTGTACTAAGAGAATACATGAATTGCTTTGTTTACTCCACTGTTTTAAATATGAGTAAAGCTACTTTACCCGAAAATGGTTGACACATCGGGTGACCGACCCTCAAATTGCGTGTGAGTCTCGCGTGAATAAAATAATGCCCGACCCCCGAGGTGTGTGTGTTCGGATATCCTCTATGTTCGTGTAGCATGGTTCTTTAAATATAATGTTCCTAACGCGTCATTGATGACATCACAACGATGTCATGTATTTCTCCTTGATCAATTTTACCATTTTGCTTCATTGCTATTTCTCGTGTCCATTTTTTCATCTGTCTTTATTTCTTCCATTTCTTAGACCCCCTCTGTAGAAAACACAAACCCTAACAGAAAATGAACAATTTTTCTTTATTATTTTTTCTTTGCAGGTGACTTCTTGAGTTGTATTGTGTCTCGTGTTATTTACCTTCTGTCTACATTTTTTTCCACAATTTGGCTTCCTTAGACAAAAATCAGATTCCCAGACGTGCTTATGTCACCACCTTCCTGTACACAATAACAAATTTGCACTGTCGTCATAAGGTTTATTTTCATTTTCAGATCTTTTATCTTTATTTTTGACCTTTTTAATTGTATTTTTCGGTGGTCAAAGGGTGCAATGATTATTGTTTATTCTTTGCTCCATCTGATTCTGATCTAAAATGATTCACTTTTACATGTGTACGAAGTTCATTTCTTTGATACTTAGATTTATGGGTTTGATTTTCTTCGTAGGAGCATCATTTGAAAGTCTAAGGGTCTGTTCTCTTTGCTGTTTTCAGGTCATTTTTAAATTTTAATTTTAGAAAACACGTTTATTTACCTATTTTCAGAAACAAATTTTCAAAAACGAGTTTAAAATTTACAAAGAAAATGAAAAATGTCAAAAAAGTCGTTTTGATTGTTTTCAGTTAAAATCAAGCCAAAGCTTAAAAATGCGGAAAACGACTGGATTTTACCAATATTGGGATAGTTTAGTTGGGAGATTCCGAATTTTTTGAAGGTCACGAGTTAGATTTTGTTTCACCGCAATTCAATACAAATGAATTTTCCTTTTATATGCACAATATAAAAAATTTCAAATAAATCTTTTATATGCACAGTCCAAAATTTTTCATATAAATTGGTAGGCGGCTAATATTCAAATTCGGATCACGAGCAAGGAATTTCAATGTCTTAACCACAATGGCAATTACTTTTGCTTTGTTATATAAGTAAAAGAACTATATATATTTTGAATAATCTTTTTTTTCAGTTTTTCAAAATTAGAAAGTAAATCCGTTTTTAATTTTTTTATTTTTGAAAATAATTTTTTAAAATGACAAAAAGAACGCCTTTTCAACAATATCAAAATGGATATTCAAAACATAAAATTCAAAACTCAAAATTAAAAATTGAAATACGAAGAGATCACATTATATGACTATGTTTACATGATCTAAAATAGAGCGTTTGTATAACGAAATCTCTTATTAAATTATTCACTAGTTTTAGTAAAAGTGACTTACAAAGTCACTTTTTTGTTTTTTGTCACGCTCAATTTTAAAAAATTACATTGTGTTACTTTTTTAAGTGACATTGTATCACTTTTTTATTAATTTTATATAATATTTTTTACTTTCAAAATACTTTTAATATGATTTTTTAAAAAACTCCTAATTGTAGGTGTATTTTTGTAAGTTGCCTTGATTTTTAGAATACTGTGCCTAATTTTCCCAAAATGGGGTTAGCCCCAGAAGGGTAATGGGCTTCTAATTAATTGCGGCCCATTTCCAATATTCGGAAGAGAATGTGCGATTTCAGGATCCATTTTTGAAACTCAGTCACTTCCTTTACCTTTCCGAAGAGAAACAGATTCTTCGATCCTTGATTCCTTCTTCGGTCACACTCAATTCCAATTCCTCAAATCAAGCAAAAAAATTTCTTTCGCTTTCTATAAAATGATCTTCATCTTGTTTTTGCTAATCTCAATTTAAACTCACTGTTAATGGTTTAGTAACTTGTTAATCAGCTGAAAATAATGATTTTGGTTACTCTGTTGAGAACGGCTTGGATTGCGGGGACTCTGCCCATTTTACTCGCCTGCATACCATCACCCAAGCTCGATGCGTTTCACAATTTATTGTCGGGGTTTGCTAAACGCGGCAAGACTATGCATTCTTCTTCACGCGTAAGTACTATCCGCGAATCCAATCGATTCTATTTCGGATTATTAACCATGCTATAGCTAGTATTAACGTAAATTTTTGGCTAGTGTTTTTTTTTTTATATAGAGATACTAGATAATTGAAGAAATTATCTTGTTTTATTTGAAGCATTAAGAGGACTTATTTTTTGGATTTTCATTGTACAGTATATTCTAAGCGGAATTCTAGTTTGGTGATTCGATACATTTTTGTGTAATTTTGTGTTTTCTATGGTTAATTGCTCGATACGTGTTACTGTTGGGGACAAAATTTATGTACAATTACTTTGCTTCAATTTATTAGTCTAAGACTGTCTTTTGTAAATTAGCATAAAGTGATTGAATTAGACAAAGCTATTAATATTGTGTATTCCTAACGTCGTGGGGTTGTAACATACATGTTGATTAACTGATCGAGACAGCAGTGTAAATTTCTTGAAGAATACATAATCGGACTTGCATTGGTATATTCTCGGGTAGCATAACGTGAAATTTTATTTTATTCCTCTTTATTCGAGTCTATTTTGCTTGAAAATTACTATTCAAGTTTACGTCTTTTTCTGCTATATGAATTAACTTCTGCAATACATTATTTCTTTACTTTGCAGAAGTTCACAGTTCCTCAGAAATTCTTTACTCACTTCTATGTACTGGCAGTTATATGGACAAGTATTCTTCTGGCTACAACATGGCATTATGCATATAGAATAACTCCAACAGTTTCTGAGACATCACTATATTCTAGCATTGCCAGCCACTTGACGGGATCTTCACATGTATTTTCCTTGCATAAATCACATTCATCTTCAAGAGAGCACAAATATTGGGTTTGGCAATCTGTATTTATGCTTTTGCTGATGGAAGTTCAAGTAGTGCGACGCCTTTTTGAGACTATATATGTATTCAAGTATAGTCCTTCAGCTCGGATGCACATTTTGGGCTATCTCACAGGCCTATTGTAAGTTCTTCGTTATTTGGTTCTTAATCTCATAAATTTTGTTATCTTCTTGTTACAATCTTCAGTTTTGCACAACCAAGTTTAGAAAATTTCAAACTTCATTTGATATGTCTTAATAAGTTAATTGTTTGGATATTTCCAAGTTTGGTGGGATGAACTGTCACGAGTTTTTTGGAAACCAGTAGCTAGATAATATAAATAGATTTTCTGCACCTATTCATCATTTTGAAATTGTGTGGTGCTTGCCTGTTGGTTGACATCAATTAGAAACCTTAATTTTATACCTCAATCTCTTATTGAGAAAAGAAGTCTCATTCACTCAGACCAGTTATCTTTCTTATAATAGTTTCTACACAGCAGCTCCACTATCCCTATGCTGTAAATATGCCCCAGAGATTTTCAAATTTGTGGCCGATTTAGTTGCAGAGTTTGTTATCAAAGGGAAAGATAGAATGCAAGTCACTGAATTTGATTGGTGGGGACATTTGAATCCTCTCCTGCACCTTAGGTGGTACATATGGATTGGTGGAGCTATTTTCCTTTGGGGTTGGATTCATCAACACCGTTGCCACACCATTCTTGTAAGAATTATTTTCGATTTACTATTCAATATTTAGATTCTATTCTATCTCTACAATGTGGATTCCAAGTTTATTCATCACCTAAGGAATAAAAGCTGCACACCGACTTTGTGTTTTTACATTGCTTTCACTTTTGTTTGATAAGAAAATAATGTCAATACATGATGTAACTAGGTAAGTTCTTTTTATGTGAAAGTACAGTGTCTGTTAGCTTGCCTGTATGTTGATTGCTCTACCGAAAAACACTAGCAAAGGTTGCTCTGCCAATGAATGTCGACACATGATTGCATTACTAATCTCCGCCATCATGATTTTTGAGGCACTATGTTGAGGAATAGAAGTAAATAGCAAATTAGCAACTGCTAAAATATTGAGGATCGCTTGGGATGTGCATGCCTGTGTTTTTAGTTCTATAGTACTATTTATCGATAGAGTACTTGTATCAATTCTATGTGCTATGCACGACAATTTCTAGATTTCACTGTAACATTTATCCAAGGCTTCTAAATAAATGGGTTCTTTTCTTGTCCCAAAATATCCAGGGCTCACTGAGAGAGAACGAAGAACAAGATGATTACTCAATTCCTAACGGTGACTGGTTTGAATACGTATCCTCTCCACATTATCTGGCTGAAATTGTAAGCCTCTTTTCCCTTTCTGCTATTTCCATGACTTAAAACTTGACGATTTTGTTCATATGTGGGTCTTATTTTTATCTTTTTCTTTGTACCGGAGGTTATATATACCGGAATTGTGATTGCTAGTGGGTGTTCAGACGTTACAATTTGGTTACTTTTTGTATTCGTGGTAAGTCTTGACTTTCTTTTGAGAAAAGAATACTCATCTCCATAATCGTTAATACTTTTAGAGAGGACTGATTGCTTCATTCATGATCATACTGTTGCAGGTAGCAAATCTTGCCTTTGCAGCCAAAGAAACACATAAATGGTATCTGCAGAAATTCGACAATTATCCCAAGGACCGTACTGCGATTGTTCCATTTATTTATTGAGGCCACAATCATATTGTATATATGTTCTTGTGCAGGGTAATATAAAAGGCCCTAAAATTTCTTTTATTTAATGATGAAAGAACTCAAACTTTTGGAAATAGTTTATTTGACCCATTTAAGTCATCTTCCATCAAATATTCTGTTGATGGCTATGGTTCAGTTAATATTATTTTTTCATGTATTAAAATCCAACAGAAAGAAACGCCTTAAAGTCACTTAAAATCGATATGCAAATACTAAACATGTCATCTTTCAAATCAAAACTCAGTATGCGGAGACTTGATCACTTGTGTATCAATGACAAACTGATTCCCCATGTTTTATTCTAACTGAATATCATAGTACCTTCGATAGACAGGCAACGGTGAAACTCATGCGTACAAATCTATGCCCCAGAACTTGGCAGGTTGATTTGTCCGATATTTACGGTCCATAGTTTTGATAAGGTCCATGTCGTCTTTTGCCAGCTCGAAGTCGAACACATGAAAATTCTCTTCTAATCTCTCAAGCTTTGATGACTTCGGGATAACAACCGTGTTACGTTGAATACCCCAGCGAATAACAATCTGAGCCACAGTCTTCTTGTATTTCTCAGCAAGACCCTAATGCAACATAAGCAAAAGTGGAAATCATTTAACATATGGTTTTGGAATATTGAGCAAAATGAGTATTCAAAAACGCGTAAATTAGTTAATGGTGTGGAGAGAGTATGTACTTTAAGAACTGGATCGTCCAAACATGATACGGAACCAAACCATTCAGTGTTGGCAACAGCACCTCCAAGAGGTGTGTGGGCTGTGACACAAATACCATGCTTCTGACAGAATTTGACAAGAGAATCGCGTTGGAAATAAGGATGTGTTTCGATCTGATTCACAGCAGGCTTCACTTTCGCATAGGCTAAGCAGTCTCTGGTTAGAAAAATGTCATAGTTGCTGCACATAAAACGATGACGGTATATTGTTAAAAAGAAACATCGATTAAGTTCACATACTATTTACCTAGTTTAAAAGAAAACAAGACGAGACAGTCAGCCTAAATATATGCATATTCGTTTTGCATGTTATATAAGCATATCAATCAGGTATTTAGGTACCATATCCTGATGTATAACATAAAAAGACTGAGTTGGGGGGGGGGGGGGGGGGGGNNGGGGTTTTGCAAATCATGATGGAGAAATATAAGTACAAAGTACATTTACCACCTAACATCGATCCTCTAATATTGAACTGCCATCTGATCTTTTAAGCTTTATAGCTTAGCACCTTAAATATTAGACTGCCTCATTACTCCTCAAAAATGCTATCATATCCAAAAACATCAAAATTGACCTATGTCCTTTCCTTGCATGTTTCAAAATTTCCCATTCTTCTTAGAACAAGGAACACAAATAATCACTCTCTTCATCTAATTATGTATTGAATACATCAAATAATAAAGTCATATATAGTAAATATCAATATAATAAATTCTTTGAAAAGTTAATTAAGTAATGGAATCTTATATATATTGACAATTAAAATTTTTAATAAGATAAGGCAGTGGCAACTGGAAAAAAATATAGAAAACTCTAGGTGGTAGAAAGTGTTATACTGATACCAAGTAAGAATAGATCTCATAACAGTTAAAATAGTCTCCGGCAGAAAATATAATCAAAATATTATGATGCTCTTAGTTACTGATTTCACAAGCTGAAGGCAGCAAGCCTAACAAATCAAACTTTTTAATCATACGTACCTATTGTATTGTTTTATCGCATGTTCGAACATTTGGATTGGAAATAGGAGCAAAAAGTTAAAATGAAATCCACGTCTAAAACCGTACATAGCAAAATGGTTCTCTGAAATCGTGTTCAAATTATTGGGGGCATACATTTTTATAGATGTTTGCACATTGTTCTAGGAATGCGATGTTTTGAATGTTCACACATATTAGACATGCTCGAACTAGAATGACTAAGGCATATATAGATGAAAGGCAATATTGACATCTCACTTACCAAACAAGCACAAACTGTAATGAACACAAAGCTTTTTAGTTACCTGATCCCTATGCTTCGAGCTAAACCAATGGAAACTAGGTCTTCCATAGCATGCCATGTGGTCTCCAGTGATATCGTAGTGTCTATGTCCAAAACATCATCATCCCCCAAAGCACTTGCAGTTGCACCAACACCTTCACAAATTTTAAAATTGGAACAAAACTTTATCTCATTAATAACAAATTCGATTAAGGACATGATATAGTCAATGAAAAATTCAACCCCAATGCCCTCATATTCCCCATTAAAATCGATGACTGTAATTTCACAAATTTTATTTCCATTCTCGTGAAGCATAACCCATCTTTTCATACTTGGATTTTTTCTAATATTGTACATTATAGAAAAATGCAAACTCTTCAGGCCCATAAATATAAAGGGACAGATCCAAGGTACAAGGAGATTAATACCTGTATGTCGTGTGGCAATAGGGAAGTGAACAAGGTACAAATCCAGATAATCTAGCTGTAGTTTCTTTAAACTATCTTTACAGGCCTCAACAACATGACCATGGTCTGAATTCCAAAGCTACAATAGGACAAGTTTTATTACATTTACAAAGCGATTCTCAATCTCAACCCAAGCAAACTATGAAAAGATTAATTCAAAATAAGCTTTGTGATTCACTGTTACTAACCTTGGTTGTTATGAACAGATCCTCCCTCTTCACAAGTCCAGTCTGAAATGCTTCAGCAAGTGCCTCCCCCACTTCTGCTTCATTCTTATAATCCGCTGCAAACCAGTAAACCCAATAGAACAATCAAGGAAAAGGTACAATCTTAATGTAAACAGACATTGATAGTGTGGAATGAAAGAGTACCGGCACAATCAAAATGACGATAACCAATCTTAATAGCGTTGAAGAGAAGATCTTTGATGTCTTTGCCCTCCATTCGCCAAACGCCCAGTCCGATTACAGGCATTTTGAAGCCGCTGTTTAGTGCAATCGCCATATTTCTTAACCCTAAAATTCACTGCACTTCAATTCTCGTGTATATTTCTGCACTTCAGGCGCTCTGTCTGGGATCTCCCCAAAATGGGAGGAATCTTTACCAGATATTGTTCCAAAGCTACGACGTCGTTTAGAAATTTTGACCCGGCCCAGAAAAGTTAAAAGGCCTATATAGCAGTTTTCGTCGCCCATAAAATAATTGCGTCCAGCAACGAAAAATAGAGACCGTCGATATCTAATTAGCAAACGGAGCACGGTGGACCATTAAACAGCAGATTTCAGTCCTGCAAAATATATCTAGAAGGGTTTATCCGGATGTACCGAAGGGGATGACCGAATGGTGTCCCCCAACCCCCCCCCCCAATGCTGCGGGTCCCATGTTTTTAAAAAAATGCGGCTCGTGGTCCCCACTTCCAAATGTGAGTGGGGTGTAAAAGAGTAGGTAAAAAATTATGTACACGTAGTATAACCCTATCTAGAATTATGCAACTTGTTCATAATTTTGTTTACATAATGATGTCCACACCTCACGTGAAGATAGACCCACTTCGAATATATTATATATTTTATTCGAAATGGATCCCCCTCCATGTGAGGGTGTGAACACTGAATATAAAATTATGTACGTGTAGACAAATCCATATATTTAAGGGATAATTGCAGCGGTGGTACCAAATCTTTCACTTACTGACAAACTTTGGCCAAAATTTAATTTGTGCCACCAACGGTACCAAACCTTTAATTTTTGCTATCAACAGTACTAAACCTTTCAAAATGTCTACAATTGAAGTCCAACTAGATGGTTTCTGTTAGTTTAACTGCTAGTTGACCAAATAATTGATTTTGACAATAATATTGACTGATTTTAAAATGTTAAAATGAGAATTTTATATATTTTTATAATAAAATAACCAAAATCAAATAATTAAAATTAAAAACTTATTCCACCATCTTATTCTTCTCCACTGACTCCATCCCCATCCCAAATCTGCAAATATGGGAAATCAACGTCTTTGAATACAAGACGTCAGAAAACTATTGCCAAACTATGTAGATCTGCATAGGCTGGATTAGAAATTTGGACTTAACAACCAATCAGAAATAGAGTTCCTCGATAAAAATATGGATTTCCTCTTGAAATGGTCCGCCGAAGACACTACCTTGACTAAAGAGGAGAAGAAGAGGTAAGAGATTGAAAATGATTTAGAAATTTTCTATATGACGTCTAAGCAAGTTTCTGGTAAGGTCCATTTCTTGCTGCTAATTTGCGGGGTGCTTGTGGCGGTCATTGTAGCCTATGTGTAGGTGGATTGTGATCATCGGCACAGTGGTGGTAGGTGAATTTTGGTTCGTTTGGTTGGGGTTGGGTGAGGGTGAGGGAAGATGGGGATAAGTGTGGGGTATTGGAAGAAGATGAACTGTTTCGAATGAAGTTCTGGATTTTTGATTCTATAGTCAATCAAGTTGAAGTTTTGGGCTAAAGTACAGGCAGTGTTCCTTAGAGCCATTACTATTGCAGCAAAGAGCACATTCGGTTTTGGGAACTCCATTTCTGAACTTGTTGAAGCGTTCTCGAAGTTCCAAACCCCGAGGGGTGAAGAAGTTAGAATGTGTTTTTAATTTTAATTATTTGATTTTTGTTATTTGATTACTAAAAGCATGTAAAATTACATTTTAAACTTTTAAAATCAATCAACATTATTATCAAAGTCAATTATTTACTAACGGTCAAATTAACAGAAATCATTCATTTGGACTTCAAATGCGGACATTTTGAAAGGTTTGATATTGTTGGTGGCAAAAATGTAAGGTTTGGTATTGTTGGTGACACGAATTAAAGGTTTTTGACAAAATCTGCTACTAAATGAAATGTTTGGTACCGCTGCTGCAATTATTCATATATTTAATGAAAGTGCGACGATTATTAAACGCACATACCACGTGATCCAAATTCAAAACTTAACTGTGGTTAAGAAAATTTAATTAATCTAACCGCGGTTACTTTCATCAATGGTCCCTTTTATCTTTTTAATCGGATTATCCAGATGTACGCGTGTCAATATTAAGCGGCCGGGATCATTTCTCAGTGGATAACCATCCTCAACTGGCTGCTATATAAACTCCCCCTCTCCGTTTAATCCCCACCAAACAGAAGTAGACAGAAATTTTGTGAGAAAAATAATCAAAATTCATAGAAATGGCAAACCCTAAGGTTTTCTTTGACATGACGGTCGGCGGCCAACCGGCTGGACGGATTGTCATGGAGCTTTACGCCGATGTCGTCCCCAAGACTGCTGAGAACTTCCGTGCCCTTTGCACAGGTGAGAAAGGCGTTGGGAAAGCCGGCAAGCCTTTGCACTACAAAGGATCATCCTTCCACCGTGTGATCCCTAATTTCATGTGCCAGGGCGGAGACTTCACAGCTGGGAACGGTACCGGAGGTGAATCGATCTATGGCGCTAAATTTGCTGATGAGAACTTCGTGAAGAAGCACACCGGTCCTGGAATCCTGTCCATGGCGAATGCTGGCCCTGGGACCAATGGATCTCAGTTTTTCGTTTGTACCGCGAAGACCGAGTGGCTCGACGGCAAGCACGTGGTCTTCGGACAGGTGGTCGAGGGAATGGATGTTGTCAAGGCCATCGAGAAGGTTGGATCTGGTTCTGGAAGGACCTCCAAGCCTGTAGTGATCGCTGACTGTGGCCAACTCTCTTAGATCTATCTTGTGAAGATCTCTTATATGAAAGATCCGATGATGATCTATGAATTATAGTACTTTCTCTTTTTCATTTTCGCTTTTATGACTTTATTTTGAGTTTATCGTTGGGCTGTGTTAACTGAAGGTTGTTCTACGTTGACTTTGAATTATCGTGTTTAATAGGAACTTCCTTCATAAATAAGATTCGTGCAACTTTTTATGCTCGATAAACTTGGATTTCACTGTTAATTGCTGTTTGCTATATTTTTTGTTTTTGTTATGATTCTTCATATTGGTAGAAATTGGGATGATTAATATCAGCCTATAGTGGTTGCCCAGCGCAAAGTTAGTTTAGATATTTTATGTGATGACTGATGGTGACTTTCCCAGTTTTCTCTTTGTGAAGTTTATCGGTGGACTCGGTCAATTCCTTTACTATATTGATTTGAGTACCGAGAAAGATAGGTTCTAGAAGTGATTTATTTATTAGAATTATTAATAATAGTATTTTAATCAACGGCCACTAAATTTTGCAATGGTTACTATTTGTTCATCAATTTTTAAAAAGTTACTCGTGCTCGTTGCTCACTGAATTTTGCTATATTTTATTGATTGTTCACTGAAATTTAAAAGTATAGTTTTTGCTCACCTAAATTCGAACAAAATTACTCATTGCTCACTAAATTTTGCTATAATTAACAATTATGACAATGATACGGGTTGATTAATAAGTAATTTTATTCAAATTTGGGTGAGTTACAAGTGATTTTTTAAATTTTGATGAGCAAGTAGTTACATATAACAAAGTTCAATAAGCAAAGAGTAATTTTTTGAATTTCGATGAGTAAGTGATAACCTATATCATTGATTAAATTAATCCAATATTAATTCTAGATCAAATGATAACAAATTGCAAAATTTGGTGGGGATTTTTGGCGTGTGGGACAGGAGAATAGGACGCTGAATGAAGCCTGAAGGTTTATTTTTTGTCAAGGAAAAGCTAGACAAGTTATCTTTTCGCCTATTTGTAATACTAATTCAAAGTTGGAGATTAATTTGCTCCATTTTAAAAGTTGCCGACTAGAAGTGCGTAACGTTTGTTGATGATAAAGACGAGAATTTAAATATGATCACGATAATAACGGTGAATAAGAGGATGAAAAGGAGAGAGGATCAACCATCAACTAAAAATAGAAAATGAGGAACATTTTTATTCAGGTGTGTGAGCCACATTATTTTGAAATAGTTGATTGATGAAGAATGTGTGGTTGAAAAAGAATGAAAAATTATTAATGTGATGTAAAATATTATTTTATTGAAAATAAGTAGAAGAATGAGAATGAAAATTTTAATGTGACTCACACCCCTTTTTTTTTTTACATTCTATGATGTGGCACATAATTTTACCATTAATTTTAACGTTTAAAACAATTAATAAAATTGATTTTTACGCTTCACACAATGTCAATTATGATGTACACAAGAATGTACAAGTAGAATAATTCATTTTTACTCTTCTCTCTCAATTTTGAATGTGTAATAGCAAGAACTCGATTTGATTTGTCCATATTTGTATTATCTAGACTAGAAATCGCGGAATAAACTTGTAATTGCGAATTCCAAATCAAGAGAGATGGAAAATAAATATCTAGCTTGCTTCATTTTCTTATTTAGAGCATCTTAATGGTGGTGTAAATTGGCATCTCTAAAATCACAATTACATCCTCATTTATATTACGGTGGATTTAAATTCAAATTTTGTCCCAATGAGAATATCTAAACTCACCATTGACCTCTTGTGAATGTAATTTTTTTTTTTTCACACATTTTGTGTCGAAAAGTACAATATGCATTTCCTTTACATATCTGCATTTGAGAGGTTTTCGATCACTTTGAAAATATATTTTGCAACGATTGAAGATGTTCTCATAATTAATCCTTTTCATCCTCATTCTCGTCTTCTTTCTCTTTGATTTGTCCTTTTCCATCATTGTTATCATCTTCTTATCATCTTCACCCCGTGTCACTCTTTCATGCCATTAGCTTTGAGATTAGGCAATTTGTCATTGACAACGATACAGTCACAAAGTGAAAGTCAACGATGTGTTTCAGTATATGCTTGGTTATTCTACCCGAATTTGTCATTTTGTCAGAAAAAATATAATAGACGCAGATGATATAATTGATGTGACAATAGGTAATTTGATGAAAAATTTGACTGTTTTTAAAAACAATGTAATGATGGATGTCATATGAATTATGTTAATGATTATGACATTGTAACATGACTCGTTTCTACCCAAAAGAAATACCACGCATTTATGTAGCGATAGGGATTAGGGCTTGAGTGCAATTGGATCGGCTAATGGTCCTAGCCCTAGGTTGGATCTTGAGAATAAGTCGATATTTGGATCCCACTTTTTTGGGCTAAATTAACCTTCATGGGTGGGCTTAATTGGGAAAAATTATATGGACAACTTACAAAAATACCCTTAAAATTCAGGATCTTTTGAAAAATCATATGAAACATATTTTGGAAGTAAAATATGCTTTGTAAAATCAATTGTCAACACAGCATTGTCACTTTTTTATTAAAAACTGACATACAATGTTACTTTTATTAAAAATTGATATTCGTCACTAAAAAAAAGTGATATAAATAGATTGAAAAAAGTGATGAACGCTAAAAAGGTGACAAAATTAAAAAAAGTGGCACAAATTAAAAGAAATTATACAAATTAAAAAAATGACAAAACAATAAAAAAGTGACACGCGCTCAAAAAATAACAAAATTAAAAAAAAAAGGTTACAAACTAAAAAAAATAAGTTTGTCACCCCTTTTTTGTCACTAAAAAGGTGAAACACTCAAAATGTGACAAAATAAAAAAAAATAGTGACAAACTTAAAAAAAAATAAGTGTCATTTTTTTTTTGTCACTATTTTAAAAAAAGTAACGAACAATAAAAAAAGGTGATAGAAAAAGTGACAAAACAATAAAAAAGTGAAACGTTTTTTATCACTGAAAAAACGACAGAATTTTTTTTAAAAAAAGTAACGAACAATAATAAAAGGTGATAGAAAAAAATGAGAAACTCTAAAAAAGTGACACATTCAGAAAATACGTTGGTTGGACACCGAGCTACAACGATTTTAGGTGGTTTAAATCGTCCAAAACACGTGCCCAAAAAAACTAAAGAACCTGCTTTTCTAAAACCTCATGAACAGTGCTACCCAAAAGTGGTCCATACTTGTGAAAAATGAACTCTAAAGCCTTGAAGCGGCGTGGAAGAAGATTTCAATTTTACACTTGAATACATTTGGTTAATTATTCAATTTCATATCCAATCAACCAATTGATTCTGAATATACCTACAAGATTTAAGTTCTTCTAGAATCCATCTTTATACTTCAATAAATCAACTTTCGTAGCGCAAGTATAACTAAGCTTGATTACCGAATTATTAATTCAAAACTGAATTTTCTGCCGAGCACAAAAAATACAAAAAAGATCAACAAATGAACTAAAAAAAGTTGTTTAAACTAAATCTTAAAGAAGTGGAGCAGTGGCGACTGGAGGCAAAAAAAAAAAATGCTGCTGCTGTTGGCCGGATCAATGGAGCTTGCGCAGAAATAAATCTTCAACAGCGGGCCACGGGAATTTGAGGGCTGCCAGCGGCGGCTGGAAGAGGTAAACTGATGAATTAGTGAATGGGTTTGGTTTGGAGTGAAGATTGGAAGTCTGGTCGGGGGAGAAAGATCGGGAGAGTGGAGCTTTCATCCATCCTCCGGGTTCTCTCACTCAACACGGACCCGACCTGACCTGGAGACTTTCCGGTCCTACGTACCAATTGGTTCTGGGTCAGTCCTATTTTATCTAGCCCAGTGTATGTACGGGTCATCGGTGACATAGACCTCCAACGGGAGCTCTCCCCGCCGTCCCTCGACTCCCTCCTTCCTGGTACTGAAGGACTATTTCTTTGAGTCACCGGTCTGAATCTAGCTCGAATAGGAGAGGGCTCTGATCTCCTCACTGGGGACTTTTTTTCCCTTGTTACCTCGCCGAAGAGACTAGTTTTTGAATCTCGACGGTACACTTTGCCTGAATGCGTTCACATTTTCATTGTTTTCTCTCTTTTCCGTAACAGATGTTGAAAAGCTTACACTCTCGCCGATGGTGCTGCAGATCTCAGAAAATTCTTCAGACACCTCATCATTGTTGGCTCAAATGGTTTTTACTTTAGCGGGATTGGAGTCTTAGCTAATAGTTTAGATTATGATGTAATTATTACTTGATCAAAATGTTTAATTAGTTTAAAATGTATTAATCAAGATGCTTATTTTAATAGGGTACACAGCCTAATTTTTTCCCTAAATTTTTTAGAGGTATTTACAAAAATACTCTTAAAATTATGGATATTTTGAAAAATCATATGAAGTTTTTAGAAAGTAAAAAATACTGTGTAAAATGAAAAAGTAACACAATGTCACTTTTTTTTTTATAAAAATTGTCACTTTTTTACCTTTTTAAAAATAAATGACAAAACTAAAAAAATGTGACAAATACCAAAATAGTACCATTCATTTGGGTAGCACCAATAATCATATTCTTAAAATAATCACCAAGTTCAAACCAATTCACATGTTGATTGTGTTAGGAAAATATAACATATTATTTCATTTTTTCATTTTCTTAAAAAGTAACAAAAACTTAAAAGGTGACAAAAAACTAAAAAAAGTGACAAAATTCAAAAAAAAAATGATAAATTTTTAAAAAGTGACGAATTCAAAAAAGTGGCACAAATTAAAAGAAATTATATAGATTAAAAAAATGACAATAAAAAAAGTGACACACTCAAAAAGTACAAAATTAAAAAAAAAAAAAAAGTGACAAACTCAAAAAAGTGACGAAATATTTTTTTTTTTTAAAAAAAATTGACAATCTTTTGACGAAATTCACGGGCTTCCTCCTTCTGTAACAATTGGAATCGAATTTTTCCTTACAAGAACATTAGGCTGGCTCTCAATATCCTCATCTTCTTCGATATCCTCTTCTACATCAATTCCATCCTCAGGATGAAAGCACCTTAAACTTCTATCTGGTTTGTAATTATGTTGGGGAATGAGTGATAGTTTGGATGATTACGCAAAATTAACCAAAAGCATAATTCATACAGTGTCATTAACACAACACAATTTAGTCATCAATTAGTTCGTTGGTGGGTTCTATACTCATGTGATGATAGATTAATAGTGATAAATTAGTCAAAACGAACTCAAAACATTTTTATTGAAGCGGCAATAAGTCGAAAGTTTCTGCCGCTACTCGGTAATATGGTTGCAGTAACTGCAACTACCAACCTTCATATTACATAACAAATATTGTAGGAGCAAGTCAATAATAAACATTTTATTCATTAAAATATCATAAAAGGGCTACTCTTATTTCTAGTAAAGAGTAGAAGAAAGTTTAGAATGCACTTAAACAAAACCACTAATAAGTTAGAAAATTGCCTTTGCAATTCCCAATTGGAAACAATTGGCTAGGAAATAAGAGATCCATTAACGATCCTCACCTCCTTCATCGTCATCCCCCCAAATCCCGTCATCGCCACTTCTTCACGCCGCGGACACAATCATTGTCCCTCCTCTTTCTCCATCCCCATCTACTACCAGCGCAAGCCTAAGCACAAACACTTTCTATTCTTTCCATATATTTGTTGCAAAATTTGACGAATAGATAAATTACAAGACATGACTTTATCAATCAGCAAAGAGCTAAGAATTCATCAACCTAGGACATAAAACCAGCAAACCTAGACACAGAATTGGCATGACCAATTGATTCAAAAATCAAACCATCTTCAAATTCTACTAAATTCTTCCCACTAAATCTCGGTTCCTCCTCGACCCATCAAAAGTACCACAATGGATAGCGACAACTTGGGATCCTCTCGCCACAAGTCCAACATCAGAGGCTCAAACAGCTAAAGAAATGAAATACCCAAACCCTCGAACGAATCCTTGAGAAAATCTTCAGAATAAAGAAGCAATAAATCAACACAAACTAACACAAAATAAAGAAAACAAATAAAGACAAACGAGATATCAAGTTAGAGAAGAAGAATAAGTCAGGGAAGCAAAACGAGGATCTGTTGGTGGAATTTTGGCTGGATTTATGGGTTCTGAATTGAGGGGGTTTGAGGGGGTATTAGCGTATTAATTACGAAGAAAAGATTTTAATTAGTTTTATGGGTAGTTTTCTAATTTGTTATTTTTAGAGGGTAGTGGACCTACTTACCTCAAATTATATGAGAAAAATAGGTCCATTACCATTAAAAATAAAAGGAAAGAATACAAATATCAGGCATTAAGTATACCTTATTTCAATTTTAAGAAAACAAGTTTAGCCCCCGTTTGGGCCACCTTATTTTCTCATTAAAATGAAAAATATGACCGTTATCCATCACATCAAGATTTAAATTTAAATTTTCTATTTCTTGTGTGAGCTCCAATAATGACTATATTTTTCATCCTCATTCTACAAAAAGGTGGCTCAAACAAGACCTTAATATTCTAAAACCCAGGTGATATATAGTAAAGGGAAAAAAATTATATTATATTAAATTAAATTCCTAAAATCAAGCATTCCGTTACCATCTCAAATTGAACTCTCCAAAATACAAATTCATCGTTGAACGAAAGTGAAAAGCCATAGATACCATCATATTCTCGATTATCATCGTCGGAATCTGGTTGATTGAAAATCATCGGACAATTGAGGTCACAAATTGAAAGCTATCAGAAGATCGAACAAATATAGAATCTATAGCAAACTCGTCAAATCAAATAACTTCGATTCTCAACGTCGCAATCTGGTAAATTAAAACCCCATCGGACAATTGAGGTTACAAATTGGAAGTTTTCGACATTGTATATCAGAAGATCGAACAAGGAGACAATCTACATGGTTTTCACCGGAGCAAATAACATCAATTCTTACAGTCGAAATCTCGTTAATTGAATTTGTGACCAGTTTGGAAAACTGAATTCGAAGAAATAGATGACATGTAACCAATTCTCTTGAACTCGTGACATATGCACTTTTGATATATGACCCGTGAACTATTACAAAACCACCTCAAAAATCACCACAAAACCGTTGCAAAACCACGACAAATCCACTGCAAACCACCACAAAATCAAAAATGTGATCGACTTAACTTGAACGTTCCTGGTACAGAGTGGCCATTGAGATGATTGCAGTGTGGCGCTACCTCCGTTATCCTACGCTGCCTCCAATGCCATGCCTCAACTGCGTCTTCGATGCCGCTCCTCATATCTGCTCGTAGAGGGGCAGCACTGCCGGATAAAAGAGATGAGATGCTATTGCTAACCTCCTATGCACAAGGCGATGCTTGTTGATCTCCTCTGCGCTCTATCGGCCTCACCTCTTCTCATAGTGCTGGAGAGTAGAGAGATGGGTAGGGAGAAGTTGTCAGAGTATGGGGGATGGGTACAAAGAATAGAGTGATTAAGAGAGAGATTATTAATATGAAATCTATAATTATCACCTGGTTTATTAATTATTAAACTTTAGTCCTGATTTTAGAACTGTAATCTTTAAAAATCGAAATATTAAATTAATACTCTTAAAATTGATTAAAACTACAAATTTTTGTATTAATTACGCTCATATTAATTTTCTCACTTTTTTGAGATTTTGTTTT